TCTTAATGAAAATAAAAGTGGAAATCTTGAAAATTTATGTTTTCAAGGGGAAAAGGTAACTGAGTTTAGACCATGAATATGGAAGACTTTGGTAGTCTAACTCTAAACCAGACAACTCTTCTTTTTTTTTTTTTTTTGGTACCAGGGGATCGAACTTGGGTCCTTGTGCTTGCACAGCAGGTGGTGAAACCACTGAGCTAAATCCCTGGCCCTTCACTGATTTTCTTTGTTGTTTTCCTTTTTTAATTTTATCAACTTCTGTTCTTGTTTTTTACCATTTATTCCTTCTAAGCTTGTTTTGGATTTATTTTGTTTTTCATTTTCAGCCTCTTGAGTTAGGAACTTAGATTACTGATTTGAGGATTTTTCTTTTTCCTTTTTTTCTAATGTGAGCATATTTAGTGCTAGATTTCCCTGAAGGCTGAATTCCTTGAATATAAAATCTAAAGTTAATATTCTTTTCTCATATCACATTAAAAATGTTGTGCCACTTTCTCCTGAGGTCCATAGTTTCAGATGAGATATTGGCTGTAATTCAGGTATTCCCTACATGTCAAATGTCAACTTTTTCTGGTTGCTTTCAAGGTTTTTTTCTTAGTCTCTAATTTTCATTTAATTATCATGTGCCTTGACATGACTTTCTTTTGGTTTATCCTATTTGAAGTTTGCTAAGCTTCTTTTTTTTTTTTGGTAAGCTTCTTGATTCTGTAAATTTATGTTTATTATCAAATTTGTGAGGCTTTCAAACATTTCTTTGAGTACTTTTTGGGCCCACATTTATTCTCATTTTTTTCCCTGGAACTTCAATTGCACAAATATTAGATCTTTTGTTAAATGTGTATGTTTTCTGAACTTTTATTTATTTATTTGCCTCTGTCTAATTTATTTCTATTGTTTAGATTAAATAAATTCTACTTATCTGTCCTTAAGTTCATTTATCCTCTCATTTCACATCTCTATTATCAAGCCCTTTTTGTGAGTTTTAAAGTTTTTGTTCACTTTATAGTTCTATACTTTCTATTTGTGAGGTAACCTTTATTTCCTTGCTTGGGTTATATATTTTTATTTGTTTCAACAGAATTTATCATTATTAGTCTTAGTTACTTTCTTGTTGTTTAGATAAAAATAACCAACACCCAAAGTTAAAGAAAGAAAGGTTTATTTAGCTCACAGTTTGTAGAGGTTTCAGTCCATAGTTGGCTGGCTCCAAGGCAGAGTGGCATGGCAGAGAGGGGCCACAGAGGATGAACACTCATGGCAATATTTGCAGGCGAAAGTCAGCAAGGAGTAAGTAAGTGACAAGAAACAACCCTCTTTCTGTCCCTTATATCTTATCCAGCCTATCTACCCTTAGGATGGGTAGCATCTGAGGTGGGACACCCTTAATTCTACCTGATCTATGTCAAACCGATCAGTGGACTAATTTAGTAACCACATATCTTTGATCCCAGCACCACACACTCCAGATCCAGCCACCTCCAAAGTGCTCCACCTATGACCACATGAGGCTCTGGGGGGACATTTAGACACAAACCATAACAATTACTTAAATCAACTTCATGATGGTTGCCTTACAACATTTGTCAGATAGTTCCAAAATCAGATTCATTTCTGCATTGACAGTGCTTCATCATCTTCTCATTTAAGTTATGATTTCCTGGTTTTGGAATGAATTGTGATTTTCAATTTTATTCTGGACATTTTGGATAATGTGTTAGGAGACCTTTGGTTCTACCATGTCTTCTTCTTTAGCAGGCAATTTTCCTGTTCAGGCTTAGCATGCAGGTTCTTGCAGTCTTCCTGGTGTGTGCGTGTGGGGTGCTTATTCTGCTGGGGTAGATGAGGCTAGCACTGCAGGTAGTCTTGGTAGGCAGAATAATGGCCAAGAATGGCCATTATTTAAAGACGTTCTCATCTTCACTTTTGGAATCTGAGACTGTTATATTACACGGTACTCTGCACATAGTTCATGTGTGTCTTCCAGGTTTCATACAATGGGGCAATGTTGGGAGGTGGTAGAGTTTTCAACAAATGGACTCTTGTAGATGGAGTTTACATCACTGCTGGGTGGGGAGTGTCACCCTTGAAGAAATTTAGGTAGTTCTTGTGAGATCCTGGTTAGTTCTTGAGAGAGACAGAGTTGATATGAAAAGAATGAGGCTGATCCCCTCTCTTTTCCATCTTTTTTCCTGTCTTGTGATGTGGTCTTTCTCTCTTACACAGGCTTCTGTCCTGATACCATCTGCCATGATGTGCCATTGCCAGAGGGGCCTTTGACAGAACTGGCACCATGGACTGGTGGGACTTCCAGCTTCTAAAATTGTGAACTGAATGAATTTCTTTCTTTTACAAATAATCTGTAGTATTTTGTTATAGCAATACAAGGCAGAATAATACACGTGGAGAAAGGGATTGAGCTTGTAGTTGGAATTCAGGTTGCTAATTAGCTGACCTTATGATCAAAAGATTGTTGGTGGGTCCAGTGTAACCACCAGGACCTTTGATAGAGGAATAGAGAATTGGAAGAGATGGCAGCATAAGAAATATTTGACTGCCCATTGCTGATTTTGAAGATGGAAACGGGGCAAGATCTTAAAAATACAGGAACCTAGAAAAGGCAGGGACATGGGTCCTTTCCTAGAGCCCCCCAAAAGAGCACAATCCTGCCAATACCCTTATTTAGCTCAGTGAGACTCTCAACAGGCTTCTGACCTGTTGAACCGTAAGATAATAGATTCATGTCATTTCAAGCCACCATGTTTCTGGTAATCTGTTGCCACAGCCATAGGAAACTAATGCAGGGAGTATGCCATGTGTAACGGGTTGGCCCTGTGGTTCTGCTGGAAATGCTGCGGCAGGCAGATTAGGCCATCACTGTTTGCTGGTGTGAAGCAGGAGATGCTTTTCCATTGGGCCTACTTATGCTCTATCTGCAGGCAGATGAGGTCCACTGCTACCAGCCCGTGTGAGGCAGGATGTGGGCTGGCCAGCCCTGGCTCCATGGGCATCATGTGGGCACATCAGGCTCACTGGTGTTAATGAATGGGAAGCAGGGGGTGGCTGCTCCTCTTCGCACCTGCTGTGCAGCAGTTGTGGGGAAGTGAGGCTGGCACCCTATATCCTTCTCCAGCCCTTTGTTTTTTTTGTTTTTCTTACTTGTTGGCAATTTTGGGTTCCATTTTCTCTGGCACCTAGTTTGAGACTGTGGTAATAAAAATTCACTCTAATGGTGACTTTAAGAAAATCCCAGTTAGCTCCCTCTTGTAGCCTCCATATTCCTTTCTGACCTGGACTACTTGTGGTTCTCAGGGCACGCTCTCTCTCTCTCTCTGTCTCTCTCTCTCTCTCCCCTTAACTCAAGTGCTTCCTGTTCCCTGTACATCTTGTTTTCCTTACTCTTGGTGGGCTCCCTTGTTTGGCTGGAGTGCATCCTCAAGTAACACATAAGAAAGAGTTTGAGTCAAGTATACTTTCCAAATCTTGGTATCTGTTAAAGTCTTTGTTCTTTTCTCACATTTCGCATTTTGTGTCAGTATGGAATTTATGTTGATAATAATTTTTTATCTCAGATTTTTTTAGGCATTGCTTCATGATCATTTAGCACCAAGTATAGCTGATGCATAATCAGTACACATATGATTGTCCCTCCTTCATAGAGGATGTTATGGTATATATCTAGATGTCCCATAAAGCCTCATGCACTCATAGGTGGGGCTTTGGAGGAGGTGAGGTCATTGAATCATGGTAGTGTGATACTCACTGGTGGATTAGTCCACTGATGAGTTTGTAGCTAAATTTGATGTTGTGAGGTTAAGTTTGGTCAAGAGGAAGTGGGTCATTGTGAGTGTGGATTGGAAGGGTCTGTCTCCCTCCTCCTCCCTTGATCTCTTTCTGCTTCCTGCTGCCATGTCTTGAGCACTTTCTCTTCCACCATACCCCTCTGCCCCAATGCTGTCCCACCTTGGAGCCAGCAGGTTATGGACTGAAACCTGTACAAACTGCAAACTGAAATAAACCTTTCCTCCTTAGAGTTGTAGGTGTCTGGCATTGCATCCCAGCAACTAAGAAAGTAACTAAGACAGGGCTCCTGATTTTATTTTTATTTTCTGAAAACTGTGAAGTGTCCTTGTATATTTATTCTTATGCCAAGATCACACAGTATTGATCACCATGGCTTTTCTTTGAACAACATTCAGTAGTGTTTTTTTGTTTTGTTTTGTTTATGTTTTTTGTTTTTTTGGTATGGGGATTGAACTCAGAACCTTGTGGGGAACCTCAGTGGCGAAACCACTGAGCTAAATCCCGGGCCCAACATTCAGTAGTTTTAAAAAGTATACAGGTCTATATTTACAACTATTTTACAGTATTTTGTGTCTGGATCCTTTCAGCCTTCTCCGTTATCTGACTGTCTATGGAGAGCTCTCCAAGAGCCATGGGGCCCTCTGGAAGGAAGTCCTGGGATGTGACACAGACAGGTCCCATAAGGACCAACGGCTCTGGCCCCTTTTCACTGGAACTGATGTCACTTAAGGGTCTTGAGAAGTCACATGCTGGAAAGGGACATGTTTCAGGAAGAGCCTTCTGGCCTCAGTGTGTGCAGGGCCATTAGGGATACAAAGCCAGGATACAAAGCAGGGACACAGTTTGGAGGCAGCAGTCACAGTCATGGACCCAGCCTGGATGACTTTATGGTGGGACCTATCACTAAGGCCATGCCAGTGGTCCCAGCTGACTTGCTCTGTGAACTGTAGGCCCTGAAGTTCTTCCCTCTATTTTCGGAATGCTCCTTCCTCAGTAGAGAATGAATGTTGTCACAACCTGTTCCAGACCCTGGGTGAGCTCCAGAATGGCTCCTTCCCTCATTCAATCTGCCTTCATTGCTGCCCTTGCTCCTGTCCCCTCTACAGAGCCTGCTGGGGATGCTCACATTGACATCTGAGCTTGATCTCTCACTGCCAGCCCACTCTGCATGACTATTGGGTGCTCAGCCTAGAGAACTGAGAAGCAGAGTTCTGTCCACCTCAGGAGCTGTGGCTTCTCTCCTCCACCGGAGAAGCAGAGAAAATAAAGAGCCAGTGGGATCCACCAGCAAATGCTCTGCTGTGCAACTCCTGCGCCCTCAACACAAACCAACCTGAGCTGGTAATCATTTTTCATTGTCACTAATGAAAATACTACTGACTTTGGCAGGGCAGTTCAAAGTGCCTAACAAATGAATTCTGAGTCCCAGGCGAGAACTTGAGACCTGGAAGGTCTTGGATCAACTAATGACATACCTTGTGCAAATTTTAAACCTCCCTGTAATGTCCATGCATGTGGCCTAATGGTGCTGTAGAGATTTCGGGATTGGTACATATATTAGTCAATGTAATTAAAATCCTGGAGTTATATTATATGTTATTTGTATGGCAGTTTGTGATGTGTTTAATGCTCCCAGTTTCAAAATTATTAAAGCTACTGTCCCTGGGCTGGCCAAAGTGATAAGCGAAGTAAGAATGTGATCTTATTCCCTCTCGATGGGGCAAGAGGGGAGGAGGATACATGGGGGATTCTTTTATAAAGAGACCAAATGCCAAATAAAAGAATTCCAGCTGTGCAACAGGAAAGTTGAAATGGTTTGTTGAGATCATTAATATTGCAATGAAAACTAATTAAACCTGGAGCTAGAAGGAGTTCATTAGTGGTTTGGAGCCAAGGATTCTGCTTTTGCAAAGTCGGTTATAGCACAGTGGAACTTGGAAAGCTGTCAGCTGGGCTGGGGGATGCATGGCTCTCCCCTTTGGAGGCCTCTGGAATGAGGCTTGCACCAATAACAGCTCGGCAGACAGGGGCCAAGAGGTGTCCTTGGGGTATCTGAAGTCCCCCTCAGCCTCCCTCCCCAACGGGACCAGGGCATTGCCACATCTACTTGGGCTGAGCTCCCCCTGTGGGCTGCCTCTAAGGATGTGGTTTTGAAGATAGGGACAGAAGGGGACAGGCAGGTGTTTTCCAAGCCACCTGATTCACTCCAAGACACTAGAAAAATAAAAGGGACCCATGGCTTCCATCATAGCTGTGTGTGACTGGAGTATTTTCACAAACTCTCTCATTTTCTCTTCTCAATGGCTCTCTGAAAATGGCTTTATCATTTCTCTCCGAGAGCTGGTTGCCTGAAAGATTGAAGACTATTTTGGTCACAAGCTGGGCTTCCTGGGAGCAGACCCTGAGTGGGAGCTTAGCAGGCAGGATGTGTGTGAAGGGGGCAGAGGGGAGAGCCAAGCTGTGATCTTGCTGATGAGAGACACGGCTGACATCACAGTAGGGCAGGGGCAGGAGTGGCCTTCAGAGGTCTCCTAGAGTGGATTGGGATGGCCCCTTCTTCATCCTCTAGCTCCGACCCACTGGGAGGGTCTGCCCTGGGAGGGGTGAGACTTCAACAGCTGGGCAGCTGCGTCCTTCAGTGAGGGGATTCTGGGTGCCACATCACGATTATCCTCTGTAGTTCCTTCACGGTCATCTCCCTTGACCCGAGCACAGCTCCGGGCTGTAGTAAGGTTTATAGACATTTGTTCACATCAGTAGCATGTTCACATTCACATGGAGAAAAAGAAGGATCAGGGATGTGAAGTAAACAGTGGAGAAGTCTGGTCCCAACTCCAGAATACAGCCCTCATCGCTGTCCTTTCTCCACTCATGAACTAGGAAGGGGAGCAGGTAGGTGATGCTTATCTGCTATAAATAAAATCAAGTTCAACTTTTCAGGACCAAAGCAAAGTTTTCCTTTTTTTTTCAAGACCATACCCTGAAACCCCAACCCTGGCTGTTGTGGTAGTGGACAATTGCCACTGGTCCCAGGAGTAAGGACTGGGGCCGGATGTGGTCTGACTTTGAGGACCTGCAGAGGGAAGGGTGGCTCTGCTACACACACCGAGGCCCGTGGCTAGGGCTGGGTTGCAGGGTGAGGAGGACAGACCTGTGGACATGCAGGCAGAGGGCTTCAGGGTCGTAGTTTATAGCAAGATGTCCCCTTTCCCTGTGACCCCATTTTAGCCCAAACCAAAGAAACAAGCGAGTCTGCCAACCAGACAGGTAAGGCACCAACTCCCTCAGTCCAGCACTTCCCAGGGTGGCACAACTGGGTTTCAGAAGTGCTCATGGCTGGGCATGTGGGGAGGGCGGCTGGTCACTTCAGACCCCAGGCAGACTGAACTGCTTGGTCCTGTGTCCTATGCGGGTCACGACCTGGAAAGTGTTGGGATGCAGCCTATCATTCCCTCTGCTACAGGAAGCCTGTCTGGAATTGTGGCAGCAAAATGCATCTCCGAGAAGGTGATGAAACCACTTTTGTCCTGTGGGAAAGAGCTTTCAGTATTTCCAAGTCAAACCCACACCCCAGAGGGAAGGGCTCTATGTCTACAGTGCCCAGAATGGCATGGCTTCCAATGCTGGACACATGAGCCAACAGCTCCGGAGCGTCTCACACAAGCCCTTGCTATAGTTTGTGTCTGGAGTGGCCCCAAGGCCTCGTGTCACAGGCTTGGCCTCCAGCTGGGCACTGTTGGGAAGCAGAAGAACTGTTCAGAGGTGGGGCCTAGGCAAGGTCTTCTGGTCACTGACTGCCCCTAAAGGGTCTGTGAGACCGAAGACCATGCCTCCTCTTTCTTACCTCCCAGCCTGAGGTGATTGTATTCTGAAGTCATGAGTCCCACCGTGATGTGCTGACCCTACCCCATCAAACATTCAAGGCTGAAGCAAAAGGTCTGGTGCTCATGGACTGAAACCTCCCAAACTGAGCCAAAACAACTCTTTCTCTTTATAACATGACTTATCTTAGGTATTTGGCACAGACACACAATGCTGCTGGATGCACCCTTGTCTCAATGACAAGGACACTGAGGCCCAGGAGAGTAAATTTCAAGCAATGAACATAGGAATGAACTGGGCTTAGCTGGACCATGTTAACCCTGCTCATTATCCCACCTTAATGGTCCTGTGGAAGCTCAGAAAATGGTATTTTTATTTAACTGAATACTTGACGCACATTGTGTATCTTAGGTATTGTACAGTTTTCATCATTATAATGAATGCTGTTTGATTCTCCTGTAGCTGAGGGGGCATTTGAGGGCCTTTTCTTTTTCCCTCCAAGACTGTGCCTAGGAAATCCTTGCTCCTTCTCTTTACCCTCAGGCTGTGGACAGAGCATGTGAGCAACAGGTTCCTGAGACATCACTCACCCTTCCTGGCTTCTGATGGGCAGCCACCATTCCCCACTGCTCAGAGAAAGAATGCCTCTCCAGGTCATTTTGGGGGGCTCTGTCATGCCTGAGGATTCACCCTGACTTTACTGTAGTTCCCTAAATGCCACAATTTCAGGGGAGTGGAAAATTCCAGGCTACCTGAACTTTCCACGAGTGGAACCCAGGATCGCTGAGATAATCTATAGTTAGGTCAGCCTCACTGCAAGAGAAGACACTCAAAATCTCAGTAGTCTTAACAAAATCTGACCTGGACATATGGGGAATAGTTGTGATCCCAGCTCTCTGGGGGACTAAGGCAGGAGAATCATATGTTCAAGTCCAGTCTGGGGCATTTGGTGACTTAGAAAGACCTTGTCTCAAAGTAAAAAAATAAATTAATTAACAAAAGAGAGGTAGGGGTGTAGTTCAGTGTGTGGGTCCTGATTCAATCCCTAGTACTACCCCCAGAAATAAATAAAAATTCTAAAGCAGGGCTGTCCAGCACTGGAGGAACAAACCCCTGATAACCCCTTTCTTCTTTGCAGCATCTGGTAGTTTTCTTCAAGGTCACTTCATGGGCCAAGTTGATGAAAAAAGATCCAGCCATCACACCAGCATTCCAGGCTGGAAGCACAAAGGAGGCTGCTCTTCCCAGTTGCACAGACTTCCCAGCATTTCCATAGAACAATTCACTTCCATTCCACTGGCCAGGAGCAGTCATACCATTACTTTTAACTGCGAGGCAGAAAAGTCAATAAAGATTTTAGCTGGTGCCTTTTGTCCTGACTGAAGAAACCAGGGATCTGTAATGGAGGAGAAAATGAGAATAAAGGGTGATGTTGACATCCACTGTGTCTACTGCAAGATCCCCTATGTGCTGTGGGTTGCAGAGCCATGGCCTGGGTCCTGGTCACCATGACAGTTGCTCCTAGAGCACCTGCCTGTTAGGAGCATGGCCAGCCACCTGGACCTCAGTTCTGCAGATCAGAGAAGAGGAAGAGCCAGTGACCCCACTGTCACCCCACTTTGCACTTGGACCTGCTTTCTTGTGATGCACCAACAGTAGCATGATACCCAGGGTGCGCAGGTACAGCCAGTGCCATTCAGGGCTGATGTGAGAAAGCTTCCAGGAGCCTTGGCTGCAGACTGAACTTCCCAGAATGGGGTAACCCCTGCCAGGTGACCTGGGATGAAACCAAAGCTATAAGGAAGTAGACACTGCCCAAACAGACCCATTTTCCCTGAAAATAGGAGACGCGCAACACCCAGCCAAAAAGTGCCCTGTCTGCCTGAGTGAGCCTGTGGGGGAAGTTCCCTCATGAGAAGCTGCCTATTGGGATCTGATGTTAACTAATCCTTCTCAAGCTGTTCTGCTTCCTTGTTTCACCTTGATAAAATCAATCTTTCTGCCACACCAAACTGAATACTCATTCTATTTTATTCAAGAATCTTGAATAAAACCACAAACAGTGATGCAGGCCTGTAATCCCAGCACTCTGGGAGACTGAGGGGTGGACTACAAGTCTGAGCCTAATCTGGGCAATTTAGGGACTTAGTGAGACTCTGTCACAAAATAAAAAATGAAAAGAGTTGAGGATGTAGCTCAGGGCAAAAACCCTGAGTTTAATCCCCAGAATCACAAAGGAAAAAAAATGTTTCTCGATAAAAGCCAATTTAGTCTTTAAAATGTTGCAGTTTTGTCTTTTGACACTAAAACTGAAGACCACTCAGTCCTAGATAAAGTTAATGGTGAAAGGGATTGGGTGAAGCTGGCTGATTCCTGAAGGTATAAGGTTCTGGGTATGTGGGGTAAAGCCCCCACACAGAATGGGGAGGGTGCACTGCTTCCTGCCTGGGAGTGAGGCCAGGTGTCTGTTGCATGGAAGACAATTTTTCCATGGTTTGAGGGAGAGGGGGTGGTGGTGGTGGGGATGGTTTGGGGATGATTCAAGTGCATTGCACTTACTGTGCACTTTGTTTCCATTATTATTACACTGTGAACGTACAACAAAATAATTACACAACTTGCCATAACGCAGAATCAGTGGGATCTTGCCAGTAGACAGTTCCATCTGAGGGTAATGGGAGACAGTGACACCTGAAATGTTTTGCTATGTCCAGTCCATGCTGTAATTTCATTTTGGTTTCTGTCACTGGAGAAAACCTTGCTTCACAAAGACAGGAAGTTGGAAATGGGAGCAGGCTTTTCAGGGCTTTTGTGAGAATCTCAGGATTTAGCTCAGGACATGTGGAGATTTGAAGTTGTCTCAAACATCCTTCTAAGGCCACTGCCATGTGTGATCTCAAGTGGTTGATCCTCTTTGAGCACAGACAAAGTCGATTCACTTGGCTTATTCACAAATGAGTTGCAATCCATTCCTCCCTAAAATGGCTGGGAAACAATGGTCAAACTCCTTTGAAAGGTGAGATAGGTGATCATTATCAGTTGGGAGAAAGAAGGCCCAGGCTCAGTTTCTTTCCAAATCTCTGCTAGTGTATGAAACATCAAAAATCCCTATGTTGGGCCAGGGATTTAGCTCAGTGGTTCTGCTGCTTGCCTCACAAGCGCAAGGACCAGAGTTCAATCCCTGGAACCAAAAAAACCCAAAAAACAAAACAAACCATAAAAATCCCTATTTATTTTACTCATTCCCTCTATAATTCCAGTTTAGCTTTGAGTGCAGTCACTTTTTCTGCCAACTTGAACATAGTAATTTGTCTCCCCTGCAGTGGCAGGTTGAGCAGGTTAGATATGTTATACGAGTAAGTAAGTTTAGGAACCCATTCTATGTCACCAAAATGTACTGCCAGTGGTGACTGTTTTTCTAGAAGAAATCCTGTAATGGCTCCACTAACTTAAAAACTCGGCCCAGTGACCGACCTTTAGAAAGCCATCTCACTTTATCAGAGAGGACATGTGGTTCTGTGTCCATCTCCTTCCAGAGCTGCACAAACAGATGTGAATTAAGGGCATGTACTTTAATATGGTTCCTTCACAAAACATGAAGTTCAAGTGACAGTTTTTGTCTAGCCAGCCTTTCTCTATGGATGATGGTGCAGACTCACATTCAGAAGCAACCTCTTTGACATAAGTAGTGAAACCACAGAGCTATCCAGTCATGGCAGCTACACTGTCCATGCATACGCCAACACAAAATGACCAGTCCAGTTTTCCAGAAATGTAATCATTCACAGATTTGAATAGTTCTGCAGCAAAAGTGCATATAACATCTTCATGTACATTCTCCTGAAAAGTAGAGTGCGCAAAAACAAGCAGTGTTGCCTTGTTGTCAATGTTGGTAGATTTGTCAACCTGGGTTTTGTACCACTGTGACTCATTCCTAAAAATAGTGTTTCAATATTCTCCTCTGTTATTTTATCAGTTCATCTAGTTGAGGTACTGGCTGAAAAAGGAACATGTTCCAACTTTTAAACTATAGCCTCTCCTAAAAGTTTATAACAAATGTCATTAGCAGAAGGTACAATTGACTTTTCACCAATAGTAAAGTGCTTCTTAGCTTTAGCAATGTGGGTAGCCCCTAAAGAATGATACCTGCAGTGCAGATGCATTTGATGAAGCAGTGGCCTTCAGTAATTGCTTCTATTCTTCATATTTATGTTTTTTTTCTTTTGAAAAACTCCAAATCCTTCTCTTTTAGCACAGCATTCTTGTTCTCCATGTGGTGAAACAAATTTGAAGTTTTCATGACTTTATTGGATTGCCAGTCACCACATATTATACAAATTGGCTTAGAGAATAAGAATCACCTGTTACGATGACTTGAAAGTTAAGTATGACTCTTGGTGTTTGTTTTTAAGTGCAGCTTTCTATTGTTGGCAGCTTTAGATAACTGTTGTCTTGCTGTCTCATCATTGGGTCTTTCCCCCTTTTTAGAGAATTTCTCCAGTGACTTTTTCTTTTTTACTCATTTTGCCTAGGGTTAGCTTGTGGGGTCACCAAAATGGTGACTGAGACAAGTGCACAGTGCAGGAAAGAGGTGCAGATAGAAGTGGTAAGTAAGAACCTTTCGGGCTGCTGTACCACTGCCCCAAGTGGAAAGGAACACAGCTGCCCCCAGCACAGAGGAGGTGAATGTTCTGGGCTCCCATACCACTGCCCAGAGTGCAGAGGAGCAGAGCTGCCCCCAGCGCAGAGGAGGTGAATGTTCTGGGCTGCCAAACCACCACCCCAAAGCACCAAGGAGGTGAGCCACATGGGTGCCAGCAGCACCCCCCACCCATTGAAATGAGAAGACACATAAACATATCTCAAAACCAGACTTCCAGATCACCTAAAGCAACCTCAAAGGGAAATGAGATGGAACAATCTGATACTCAACC